CTAGCTGTGGCTTCTGGGCAATGTCCAAAGGCAGATCCACATACGATGCATTGCAGAAATCCAGCTGTGTGGTGATCAAGGTGCAAGTTATCTTTGTCAGAACATCCTGACTGATGCATGAGCTGAAGCTGGGGAAAAGCCATCTTCCACCTGCTCTTTTAAAATAAATAAATAAATAAATAAAATAGACAAGCAAATATTTATTTTGATCATAGATCAGCAGTATGATAACACAGACCTCTAAAAACTACAGGCAGTAGCTATAGCAATTGAGATAACAGAGTATAAAAGATATCTAAGAAATTGGTATTACTAAAAATGTGTCAGATGATGATGCTATTAAATGTATATGCTGCCCGACTTATATAGTAAGACTATATTAAAAAGTGAGTACAACATAAAATATTGTCAGTATTAATGGATATTAATAAAGTAGCAACTAAACAAAACAAAAAACCAGATCCATTAATCCAGAACTCCCAAGTCATAGGCTACATCTTTCAGGGAGATTGTGATCCCATCCAAGATTGATATAACTGAGTAGCTGAACTGTTTACAGTAGACAGCAACTCCATCTTTTGGGGATTTCATCTGGGCTTGTTTTGCCTCATCCAGTCTCTAACACCCTTCAGACATCAGAACAGGATTTCTATGGCATCTCTGGCTTGACTGGGCGATAGGTAACTGGGTGTTATTAGCAAGCTGAATACATCACCCTAAGCTGATGATGACCTCTCCCAACAGCTTCATATAGCTATTGAATAATATGAGGGAGAACACTGGGACCTATAGAACACCACACTGGAGCATCCAAGGGTTTGAGCACTCATGCTACCAGTTGGACCTGCCCACTAAGGTAGGAGCAAAACTGCCATTAAATGGTCCCCACCCCAAAACCCTGTAGGCAATCCAGAAGATACCATGGTTGAGGATATTGAAGGATGCTGAGGGATGCATTTGAACTGAAATGAGTGCACTTATCCCATCAAAGTCCTGACAAATGTCATCTATCAGAGTGACCAATTACATCTCTGTCCCATGAAGGGAACTGAATTCTGACTGGAAGGGATGTAGATAATCCATTTCTTCTAGGATCCTCTGTAGCTGGTTCTCTATGACCTTCTTAACAATGTTCCCTAAAAAGGAAAGGCTGAAGACTGAGAGAAAATTGTCAAATGTAGCTAGACTGAAAGAAGGTTTTTCAAGATAAGGTGCACCACTGCCTCTTTCAAGGCAGGTGACATAATACCATCCCACTGGAGAAAGACAAAGACTGAATCCGACTGAACACAGATTAGAGCTGCTGTTAAGGCCTACATTGTGGCAATAAGGGTGGAGAAGCGTCAATACTTCTCCGCCCTTATTGCATCCGCAGAATGCCACCCGGCAGCCCTGTTTAGGATCACTAGGTCCCTCCTTGGTAAGGGGGATGTGGGGGTTCATTTGCAGGGCTGTGCGGAGGAATTTTCAGGGCATCTGCAGGTCAAAGTCGCTCGGATACATTCCAAGTTAGACTCTGAGCATGGGGCAGGGTCTGGGGAGATACCGGGGGACCGTTCTTATCCAATTATCTGGGAACAGTTTGATCCTGTTGCTCCTGAGGAAGTGAACAGGGTCCTGGGGACTGTGAGGGCCACCACTTGCCATCTTGACCCATGCCCCTCCTGGCTGGTGAAAGCAGCTCGGGAGGTGACATGTGGTTGGATCCAGGCGGTGGTTACTACATCCTTGCGGGAGGGAGTGTTTCTGGCTGCCTTTAAGGAGGTGTTGGTGCGCCCCCTCCTCAAGAAACTCTCCCTGGATCCCACCGTACTGGACAATTTTCGTCCAATCTCCCACCTCCCCTTTCTGGGGAACGTGGTTGAGAAAGTGGTGGCATCATAGCTCCAAAGGGTCCTGGAGGAAACGGATTATCTCGACCCCTTCCAGTCAGGTTTCAGGCCCGGTTATGGTATGGAAATGGCATTGGTCGCACTTATGGATGATCTCTGGCGGGAGCGGGATAATGGAAGTGCGACCATCCTTGCTCTCCTTGATCTCTCAGCAGCTTTCGATACTATCGACCACGGTATCCTGTTGGGACGACTCAGGGAATTGGGGGTGGGCGGCACAGTCTTGTGCTGGTTTGCCTCCTTTCTTCAGGGCCAATCCCAATCGGTGTTGATAGGGAGCAAGAGGTCCCACCCTCGGCCCCTCCTGTGTGGGGTGCCGCAGGGTTCTGTTCTCTCCCCACTCCTTTTCAACATCTACATGAAGCCGCTGGATGAGATCATCCATCACCATGGGATGAGGTATCATCAGTACGCTGATGATACACAATTATACATCTCCATCCCAGGTGAAGTACTGTAAGTGATGCCGTGACTGCCCTTTCTCGATGCCTGGAGGCTATAAGGGTCTGGATAGGGAGCAACAGGCTTTGGCTGAACCCTGGTAAGATGGAGTGGCTGTGGGTTAATGGCTCCTCTGTATCCGGGACTTTTTCATCTTTGGCGCTTGATGGGGTGGCACTACCCCAGACAGACCCAGTGTGTAATCTGGGGGTCCTCCAAGACTCACGGCTCCTGCTTGAAGAGCAGGTGGCAGCCATGGCAAGGA